GTGAGGGTAGGGATTTCAGGAAAGATACTCCTGTAATTCACATTAGATAATGGTGGATTTGGACAAGTGTGTCACACAAGACAAAGAAAAAAATATGTACTTAGGAAGTGGAACTCATAGAATCTGCTCTCGTGTTCAATGGAAGTTGCAAAAAGAAAGAATCAAATGTGACTTTTAGGCTTTTAAAAGAGAATTAATTGTAAAATAGTTAGGTATTCTCTACAGTGAGACAAAAATCTGCTTTTCCAGTTGCCATATATTAGTTAAAACCTACTCCTAGGAAGCTGTAAAAGTCCATTCTTACCTTCAAATGTTGGAAGATAATCATTATGTTCCCTTCAGGTAGCTTTTGTCTAAATATTTCAAGTGTTTTTAATCACTACTCAAGTAAGACGGGTTTAGATCCCTTTACCACCACAGACGCTCACTTCTGAATGCCTTTCATTTTGGTTACATGCTCTTCCATGGTCAAAACTAACCAATAAAAAAAGATGCAGTCTAACCATCACAAAGCAGAATTTGCTTTTCACCTTCTCCATTCTACACAATAGTTTTTCATTATTTTTTTTGTATTTTAATAGTGTATTTTTATTGTATTTTTTGCCTCTTATACCTTCTTCTACCTCTACCTACCGCCATCTCCCCTGCAATCACCATACTGTTGTCTGTTAATTCTGACAGGCACTTCATAGTTATTGTCTCTCAAAATCGAGTAGAGGAGATAAAACACAGACTCCTGATGATATAAGCTAGAATGAAATGAAGACCATAAGAAATGTGTAAGTGTAGGTGGTCGGGTGGACACGGGGGTCAAGAATGGCTTTTAGGGTGGAATCTGAGTGATGGAAAAGATGCTGAGAGATGGGTGTGGTCGAAAGTAGAAAAAGAGAGTTCTAGTGCGAGCAAAGCATGGGACGCAATGGTGCAGTGTGCAGCCACAGAGCGAGGGAGTGAGAGCCAGCGAGCAGCGAGGTCAAAAAGGAAGAAGGCAGGATTGTGTTGTGGAAGCCACGAATGCTGCAATGAGGAATCCATCCTTACTTTGTTAGGCAAAGGGACACCGCTGAAGGCTGGGTCTCTGTTGTTGGGACAGGTAGAATTTCACTTCAAGAAGATTACTTTGGTAGGAGATTTGTTTAAGTGAGAAAAGGGAGAAGGAGGAGAGAGCACTGAATCCCTACACGGGTCCAAGAAGGAAGTGATAAGGAGTTAAACAAGGCCCTTGTGGAGAGGAGGGAAGGGGAAGTACAGATGCAGAGGAACAGTAGGAACAGAATTTCCCAAGCTTTGTAGCTATTCACATGGACAATAAAAACACAGAAGAGGAAGAAAAAAAATGCCTTCTCACAAAGATGAAGTTGAGATTTTATACCAAAATGTCACTCTTTGAAACATCTCTTCATTCAGGACTTAGATATTTTTTAAATAATTTTTTATACATACTTCTCATCACATCTTCATAGCATACAAAAAGTAACTAAAGTTTCCTGTTAAATCATAAGATTTTTGGCCAGTAGAGGAAATGGTAGAAAAAGAAATCTTATAGTTTAGAAATAAAAGATGCCTATAGACTAATGTGGTTTCAGCAACTATTTTTTTAATTTATTTGTTCAAATACATTTGTCTCTACCTTCCCCCCACCACTTTCCCCTGCCCCCTCCCCCTCAGCAACTGTTTGAAATCCCCAGTGCTCTGCTACCCCACTGCAGGGGGCTGCTTTGAGCGGCACTGGGGACTGCAGTCCCATGCAAGCTGGGGCCTGGGAGAGGCTCCATAAGACTTGGCCAGAACACTGGTAATGCAGTTGACAGGCAGGACCAAATAATAGCTCTGTGGGCCCCCAAGGGAAATCAGGCCTAGAAGTGAATTCCACTCCTTGAAGCATTTGTCTCTTCCTCAAGCTCTGTTAATCTTATACCAGATAACCAGCTCAAGGCTGGGAAGGAAATTTACAAAATTCCTGGACCCTGACCCAAATCTCATCTGGTGCCATAATGTTTGCTCATCTTGGACCCAAGCAATTCGATGTGTTCCTGCCATTGTCTTCTTCAAACATCACCTATTCTCTGTAAGTTTAAGCTACTGATATAATGAGATTACCTATACATTCCTGCTACCTGTCCCCTGCTTGTAACCCTCTCAATAAAAGCCATTGAGCATGGGGGCTTGGGCATTCTCCTTGAGAGAGAATCGCCGTCCCCTTTCCTTGACAGGCAAACGGTGTCTGGAACGACTCTTCTTTCCATCTACAGTGAATCTGGGGACTTCACGGGCCAGAGTCCCCCATACCCTGCTCTGCGAGAAGTGACTGGGCTACAGAAGGCAGGCCACTGGGGCCCTCACTTGCCCTCAAAGTTCTGTGTGTCTCAGGTTGTAAATGTTATCAACAGCGTGCCGTCAACACTCTGTGTACGGACAACTGGTGTCCTTTCCCGTTGCATTTGCTAAAAAATACGGAGGGAGGAAGAAGAGAAAAACTGGAAGAGGAGAAGGAGAGAGCAAAAGGAAGAAGAGGAAGAAGGGAGACTTCCTTAAAATGTAAATATAAAAATATTACTTGGCAGCTGAGACAATGTATTCCTAAAGAAAAAATAACATCATCCTACTTCTTTGCTTTTCCTTTGAATTTTGTCTTTTAATGGTTGGTCTATTCCCCAGCTGATTTGATCCAAATAAAAATTTTAGTAGTGTTTTATTATAACTTGAAAAGAACACTATTAAAAGCTCAGAAGTTATGTAAAAGCAAGAACAACAGGAACAGATTCATCTATAATTCCCCCACTCAGAGATAACCAATGTTAATATTTTATTTATAGGCTTCTGGGCATTTTGCTCTATGTATCCTTTTAAAATAAAAACTAGGTTCTCTTCTATGTCCTTCTTTATTTTTGACACATATTATGGCTTCTTCCTTGACTTCTTCCCTTCCATTTTTGAACCACTCAGTCCTGAAACTCTGAGGAGGAGCAGAGTTCAGTGTCAGCGCTGGCCAAGGACTACACCAGGAGATGAGGTGGTCCAGGGCGTGGGAGCTCAAAAAGCGGGGAAGGAGCCTGTGTGGAAGCCTGCCTGGAGTGGAGAACAGGGACATGAGTGAGGTGAGGAGGGCGTCCCCACTGAAGGAGAGCCTGGCAGGGTAGCTAAGGTGATAAGGCTATTCCTGTGACCCAGTGACCCCTCACAGAGGGTCAGAGGCCAGCCTAGGTGAAGACGCTGGCTCTCAGAGCAGCAAGCATCCCCACTCAGGCTGTGGGAACCTCCCGAGGAGGGGGTCAGAGGCCAACCTGCTAGAGGACAAATCCCTGTGGGGTGTGGCCCCATATGGGGTGCCTAAGCAGAAATGGGCTGTGAGGACAGCAGGGTCCGTGTCTGGGTTTGGAAGCATTGAAGTTATCAGTGTAAGGAGAACCTGCATGCTTGTGTGCTACGGGCCATTGTGTCAGCTCTGACGGCAACTCTGGGAATGGGTGGTATCCAGTGTCCTGTCCAAAATAGCCCTGCTTAGCTCTGTGCACTTACACCTGTGGCTTCTTTTATGGAGTCAGTCCATCTGGTATTTGGTCTTCCTCTTTTCCTGCTGACTTCTATTTTTCCCAGCATTACTGTCTTTTCCAAAGAACCCTGCCTTCTCTCATGATGTCTCCAAAATAGGGAAGCTTCAGTTTTGTCATTTTTGCCTCCAGCCATGTCCAGCATCCTTATGAACTGAATTTTTCAATCCAAGAATAATATATCTCTCCATTTATTAAAATCTTTCCTAACACTAAACATAGTATTGTAATATATTCTCTCATATTTCTTAAGTTTTCCCTTAAGTATTTAATACTTTTATTGCTATTGTACATGATATCTTTTCACAGTATATTCTGTTTCTTTTTAGTATACCAAAAAAATCTATCAAGTTTAATGACTATTTATAATTAATCTAGATAACCTAGATAAGATCCTATTAGCCACTTAGTTCTAATAATTTTCGATTGATCCTCTTGGGTTATAACTGCTTTTTAATTTAGCCTAATTAAAATTGAGCAGTCATTAAATTTTGTCAATAGTGCTTAGGTATGGGAAAAAAACTTTAAAAATTGTAAAATGATTATTAACTAGTTAAGTAATTTGTTCACTTATCAAATATTTACTGAGCATACATAATCCTAGCCAAGTTACCTTATCTAGATAATTCTGTTTCCGCAACTGGAAAATATAAATAATCAATACAACTATCTAAGAACCAAGGAAGAGAATGAATGTCAATCGCTTAGCATTGCACATTGTAGGGGCTCAATAAACATCAGCAATAATGGCAGACATTACAGTCTCCGCTTCCCAGAGTTTGCAGAGCCCATTTAGACACAGAATGGTCAAGCTCCTTTGATTTTTAAGTCCAGCCGAGTCTGTATCATTTCCCTTCTCCCCTCTGCCATCCCTAGGGTGGCCCTAATTAACTTTTTTAAAAAAGGAAAAATGAGAGAAACTTATGAGAAATTCTTTCTAGAATTTATTAACTGTTGCCATTTGTAATTTCTGAAATTTTCTACAAATAACAGACCCTCAATAGATACTGATGGATTTCAAACAAAATTAGAAAACTAAAAAACCCTCAAATAGTCCTACTACCATATGAAGGTATTAATAAGTCAGGCTACTTAATAAATAATTTAAGAATGAAATCTAAGATAATTAAACTAAACCCATTCCTATAAAATCTCACAGAGCTGGCTTAAAGTGCCATATGCAATATTAAATTTAGACTTAGAAATAGAACAATTAAACAAAATATAAATTTTAAAATATTTTAAAAGAAATATAATAATTATATTCTCCTCCCCAAAATTATGCAATACTCAGAATCGTTTGCTGATCACTGATGCTCAGCTTTGCAGAAACTATACCTGCTTTCTTAATAAGTTGTAAACTAAAAAGCTGCTTCTACTCCCTATTAGCCAAAAGCCTGATTTCCTTAACAAAATGTAAAGTAAGTGAAATCTGACACTCTGACTTACCCACTTCAGCCAAAGTTCTGATACAGGACTCCACCGAGGCTTTCTGTGATGGGTTTGGCCAGGTGCAATTGTAAATTCTAAAGGCAGACTGCAGCAGCTGAATAAAAACGGGCTGATGTGTCTGAAAACATTAAGAAAGCAGGCAAATAGGCCACTAAATCATTAACACACCTGATACAGTGTCTATGAATTATCAGAAAGGCTCATCAAAACAAAAAACATACCATCTTTTAGTTTCAGAGCTATTTAATGCACATTCTTTCAAAAAATATTTATTACGTACCCACTTCATGACAGGCACGTGCCAGACACTATAAAAAAATCAACTATTTGCATTTTAACTATATTCTTAATCAGAAATAATATGGCATTTCTTGGAGTCAATGACATCAGTTTAAGGATATTTTTTATAATCTCCAGTTTATTTAGCAGTATAAACATAGAGAAGGCGCTCTAGATTTATTTGTTTGATTGACTGTATGTTTTGGTTTCACACGATGGGTGAGTAGAGGAGACAACAATTCTGAAATGGTTTCAACAAACCGGTTTAAAGTTTTTCCTCAAGAAAGTATAATCGAAATGATATTTTTATAAGAATAATACCCAAATGTTGTAAAATATTTGGAAACCATAGTAATGAAAATCATCAATAATCCTCCTATGTAGAGATATCAGTACCACAATTTTGAAGACACTTACTTTACTGAGTTTTTCCATGTATATATGTGTATAAACTTGACAGTATAAAGAAATTCTGTAGCCTGTTTCACTTACTCTTACTTGTTGGTCATTTTCCTAATCATCAATATTTCTTTTAAAATGATTTTTAATAAGCCATAACTACAGATATACTATATTTAGCAATTCCCTTGTTTGTGGTAGATGTCAATTTTCATAAATACTTACATGAAAATCTCACTATATAAAATCCTGCTAATTCTTTCAGGATAAATTACTAAAGTGAAATCACTGCGTCAAAAATGCCTGCCCATTTAAAGAATTATGTAATTTATTTTACCACTTGGCAAACAGTCAATACACAATATGAAAGTTTCTATTATGCATAGAGAGAGAGAGAGACAAAAATAATTTAACTTGAAGATGGGGTCTTCTTGTTTGAAATAAAATTGGGTAAACTCAGAAAGGAGAATAAACAGTAATTAGTGTGAAGGAAGAGGGATCTTCAGAAGCATAGGAAATGACTTCCTGACCAGACTAAATGTTTCCCTATTCAGATGAGGTAAGTGAATTCCATGAGAAAGGATGCTCTTGCATTTGTCTGTTGAAGTTACCTGGAGACTGGTACTGTTGTCTGAAAAAGGAGAATTAAAGAAGCCGCTCACTATGTTCATTATGGACTCAGTTACACACTTCTCCAGGAAGGTGTCTGCGTGTTTCCTGTCTGTGGTCGTGTTGCAAACCTGGGGGTGAAAACAAAATAACACATTCTATCACATCTTTGAATTATATAACTCAATACTGGAACCTGCTAAAAATGTTTAGAACATTTCTTCTGCTTTTGAAATGGCAATTTGTATCTGTACACATTTTTACTCATAATACCAGGCCAAACAGAAAGCTAAAAGAGGATAAAATCCTTTCCAAAAATTTTGACTTTTTAATCCACAGATTTCTCTGGGAAGCATGGGTGTGCGGATCTGTGGGCTTGCTTCTTCTGGGCGGGCAAAGCAAGAAGAGACAGTACCGGAGCTGAGGGTGGATCAGAGAAGAGCACAGATTCTGATCTTTACATGGGATTAAATTTAGCCCAACAAACTGTAAACTTCCAAGTATGTCAGGGCAGACAAATTTCAAAAGCTAAGATACATGATTAAAAACAAATGGGGGGAAAAAAAAAACCCACAGGTGATGAAAAGACAAGAAACAGAGATAAAAAGAAGTGAGGGGGAGAGGAGACAATGTGGAAAAAACTGGGGCAGAGTGAGATTCACAAAACTATGCTGGGTAAATATTATGGTGGCCATATGTTCCAGATGTTTCAATAAGGTGATTAATCAAAAGAATAAGTAAATACAATTTACATAATACTGCTTTAAGACTTTTTACACATAAATGCACAATAGAGAAATATTCCCTTCTCCAACCATATTTCCCAATGTTTTCATTTGAAAAATAACCGAATGAAGGTAAAGAGCAGAGGCTTTGTTTTGCTGCCAGCTTACTTCTCATCGGGGCAGTTCACTTTTTCCTCATCTATTAAATGACATCTTCCTGACAAGGTTCTATTACAAGCAATCTCATAGAATTATTGCAGGGAACAATGCAATTAAAGGAAATAAATTATTTCAAATCATATAATCTTTTCATTATCGGTCCAGCATAAAACATAGTGCCTGGCATAACAAGATGTTCAATAAATGTAAAATGAATGAATCAATTAATTTTAAAAATGGAAAAATGAGAAAGGGCTATTATTTAGTTTTAGGTTAACTTTGTGTTAGGCTGTATTTGTGGAACATCTAACCAAGGACTAAAATTTAATGCGGCTCCAAGGCTAATATAAAATTGATTTTACCATGATGGATATGAAGTAGGATTTATTGCATTTAGTATCTTTCCAGCACTGGCTTTTATAGTGAAATTTTCTGATCCGTAAGATAAAAATATATTAAAGTGTAACAGGGAGCAGACCAATTCTGCCATAACCAGCGCAAAAGGCTGTCCTCCCCGCCCAGTGACGTTTCACAGAGCTGTGTGGGGCCTCCAGGCAGTGGAGTGTCACACGGCGCCACCTACATGGGCACACTTGCTAAAGAGCCAACAGCATTTGCTTTAGTCAGTGGACTAATAAGGGTAATTTATTTCTCAATAAAGGATGCCCTCAAAATCTTGGGTAATAAAAAGTCTAGTTTTAAAAACTTTTTTTAATCAAGTAGGCAAAATGTCAGACAAATGAAATTAGTTATTTTTGTGCAGACAGGATATTCTGTTGATGATCTGGCAAAGTTTTGAATAACAAAATAAGACACGTAATTTGTAAGTTATTCTATGTTTATTACACTGAACTTACTTTTGTCTTTATTTTGGCGCAACTACTAAATGTGTAATTATAATCAAGATTTTTTCTGATTTATGTTCTATTATAATAAATAATTTTAAAGTGCACATAATTAGAATATATCTTCATCACAATATAAAGTGTAATTATTTTCAAAGTGTGCATAATTTGAATATATTACCATTAGAAATATAAATTAAGTAAAGTAAAAAAAGTTTTTTTAAAGTATAGGTAAAATAATTCTTAGCACTCAAGCACTATTTTTCACTTAGATTATTTCCATTTATTTAATATAAAGAAGAAAAAACCCACGAAAGAACAGGATATTCTATATATTTTTGTTCTAGTTTTTTATTGGAGTCCTTCTATCCTCCCTGTACACACCCTGATCCCTAGTTAACTCTTTAAGCTATCTGAAATTTGCTGCTGCAGGTGATCTGACTTCTACATTTTGACTAATTTTGTCCTATATTGATATCCAGCTGTCCTCCAAACATTTACTGAATAGTGATTTCTTAACTCATTCTTAGGCTACTTAAGATTTGCCTTATAGTATGTCACCCGTCTCTATTTAAATCTTTGTCCATATCTCTGCTACACAACCATGTATCATCATTTGTAAACATTTTAATCCAACTCTGTAAGAATGAAATGACTCTCAATTTGTAATTTGTTTAATGAGTTGAAAAACAAATCAACCATCACTGCCTTTCCCAAGAAAAAATAAATTCACATTTTATTTTAAAATATTTTAAAATATTTGTCCTCGTCTATTTCCATATGAACTCTACTATATGTTTGTCAAATGCCATGGACTTTCACTTAGAAACATAAATTATTATATTAAAAGTAAATGTTGGGATAGGAGTTAGAGCAGTGAGCCAGACAAAATAACGTCCCTACTCTATTAGAGGCCTTATTCTAATCAAGAGAAGCACACACTAGACAAATTAACAAATACATAAATAATTGGTAAAATAGGGCAAATAATAGACTCTACAGAAAAATTAAGAAGGGCAAGCAGTACAAGGATGCTGCAGAGGACTGGGTGCGGTTGAAGATTACTGTTTCATTTAAATTGCTTGGGGGAGGTCTCTGTATAAGGCAACAGTTTAACCAAGAATCGAAGGAAGTGGGGAAACAGCCATGCGGCAGTTTCTAGAAGAGCCAGTAAAAATTTGTCCCCGCCAGTACAGCCTAAGTCCCTGGATACTGGCAACTCGTCTGATTTGCTCACCACTGCCTATAATGAGCACCTCAGCACGCACTAGGGATTTAAAGTCCTTTATTGAAAAAACAAATATTAAGTGAAATTTTGAGCCATAATTATGTCTGACACTTCTTCCCTTGCATTTGGGTGTCCCTTGTCTCTTCTGCCCTAAAAATAACTGCTACTCTCCAAAGACAGCAGACGGGGTCAAATCGGTTATCACGTGCAAGACTAGCACACTCCAACAGGGCTGCCTGCTGTGGTGGGGGTCTCCCAAATCCGCGACGCCCGCGACGGCAACCACGGGACGCGTGTGCTCTCTGAGCACTTGAAATGGGGCTGGTGCTACTGAGGAACTGGCATTTTTATTTTAGTTCATTTTACCTAATTAAAATATAAATTTAAATGGAGTACGTTACTACCTGACAGGATAGGGAGCTCCAGTACCAGTAACATACTTTTGACCATACAGACCAAGGAATACAAATCCTAAGGATTATTTTTGGATTCCCCATAGGCCCACAGACAGTAAAAATGTTCCTTTAAGTAGCTCAAGTGATTTGTTTTAATTTGCATTCCCTTATTCATGAGGCCAAAACTTTTCCAAACATTTGCTTTTTATATCTTTTTCTGAGGCATCTTTTCAGCATCTCCTGAGGCATACACTCCATCGGCATTCTTAGATTCTCAATTCATTTTTTAAGGGTAATATTTTTCTTTTTTATATAAAGATTTTATTTATTTTTAGAGAGACAGGAAGAGAGGAGGAAAGAAAAAGAGAGACACATCAATCGGTTGCCTCTCAGACTCCTCCTATTAAAATTATTAATTTAATAATCCAGGAGAAAGCAAACTACAGCCCATAGGTCAAATCTAGTCATATCTGTTCATTTGTATCTTCCCTACAGCTGTTTTCCCATTAGTGACTGTTGTAACAGTTGTGATAGTGGCCTGACAGCTGAAATATTAACTATCTTGCTCCTTATAGAAAAAGTTTGCTCAATCCTAGAAATAATCAATTGCTTCCCTACTAATGGTAGATAATTTCTTTAGTGTATATTAATGTATTACATATGTAAAAACCTGTTTCAAGAGATCCGTTTCTTTCCCTAATACATCTACTTAACTCTATGCTAATCCCACACTTACTTAAATTTCAAATTCACTTTTAAAATATTTTTAACTGCAGTTGACATTTATATGTCCCATGAAACTTACTGAGTATCTACCATGAGTGTGAGTCATTGTTCTATGTCAGGTAGGTAGCAATCAATCAAACAGACAAAATCCTCTGCCTTTATTTGTTCCACTAGAAACAAATACAAATACATACAAAAATGTCAAGTGGAATGGGGAGATGAAGCCAGTAAAGTGGTACAGGGAGAAAATGATGCTACTTTACCCAGGGTGGTCAGGAAAGGTCTCTCAGAAAACTTTTAAGCAGGGACTTGAGAGAAGAGGACAAAGAAGGCACGAGGATGCCTGGGACACGAGTGCATCCCGGGCAGGCACAAATGGTATGAGACGGACGTGTGTTCGGCCTGTCTGAAGAGCAGCAAGGAGGCCAGTGGGTGGGACGGAGAGCTCCCTAGTGAGAGAACAAGAGGACACAGGGAAGGGGCGGATGGATGGGGAGAGGCCAAATCGTAGAGGAGTTTCACTCTAGGCAGGATCTGAGCAAAGGAGAGGCACGAACCAACATTTTTATTATTAATTTAATCACTATGGTGATAAATAGAGAGCCCAGAAATAAATCCATGTCTCTGTGGTCAATTAACATTTGACAAAGGGGGCACAAGCATACAATGGGTTAAAAATAGCCTCTTCAGTAAATGGTGTTGGGAGAACCGGACTAGTACATGGAAAAAAATGAAACTAGACCACTAACTTATACCATACACCAGAATAAACATAGATAAAATACACACAGATAAAGACTTGAATACAAGTCACAATACCATAAAAGCCCTAGAAGAAAACATAGGCAGTAAAACTTCAGATATCCTATATAGCAATATTTTTGCTGATATATCTCTTAGGACAAGGGAAATATAGGAAAAATAAACAAATGGGACTCCATCAAATTAAAAAGTTTTTGAACTAAAGAAACCATCATCAAAATGAATAGGGAACCAACTATATGGGAAAACATATTTGCCAATGATACATCAGATAAGTGTTTAGTGCCCAAA